ATTACAGGATCATTACGTTAAAAATGAAAGGTGTGGTTGATGATTGACTGCTCTCTAATTACCCAGAGTGTTTGTCAAAGGCAGTAGGCAGGAGGCATAAGCTCTATTTTGCTGTTATATCGACTGTCAAGGTTACAGCACATCTCTGCTAGCATAGAAGACTTTTCCAACAAGGATGTTTAGTGGAACAGACCTTTCCCAGTGGAATAAATCCCCTCCTCACTAGAATACACAGTAAAGAAAATGATCTAGTGATCAAAATGGGTTCATCCCATGCCTTCAAAATAAGAAACATATCTAGGATCAGTGTTTCCCAAGATTTTTTTTCATTATTGAGATTTTTTTAGACCATTTTCCTAATAGCTCTCCCATGAAATTTTAATGCCTTAGATATTACTGTTTATCTGCTTATATACTGTGATCATTTGGAGGACTACAAACCATTGTAATATCTCATTTTTTTCTCCCCACCAACAACAATTTGTGCCCTATTGAGAATGCATATCTTGGATTATGCTTGCCAGTGCACACTGATTGAATTCAGATGATGTTTCAACAGTTAAAGATTTCAGTATGCAAAGCCGCACTATTCTCCTGGAATATACAACCCAAAAGGGCGTAAGATAGAAAATGGTTCCTTAGTAAGTCATCTCTTGCCAACCAACAGGCCAAATCTCATTCCTATCCTAAAAATAAGGAAGCTCTACTAATATTAAAAAGCATATGGTTCCCAGGTCAAAAGGGTGTCCAAGTCAAAAATCTTATACCCACAGATTCAAACGCCTCTCCTTACAGAGAGAGGGGCTGGGCTGGCTTTACTCCCAGAAGGGATAAGACTGAGCTTGCAACAGCTACCACCTCATTTGCTTGTTTATTAGCACACATGTATTAAGCTCTGCTGTGTAGGCTTTCAGCTTCACAAGGGCAGGGGCTGTGTTTGGTGTTGCTTGCCATTGTAGAATAAAGGACAGAAAGAAGGAAGGGAAAAAGGAAGAGAAGGAAAGAGGGAGACAAGGCACTGTGCTAAGTGACTTGAATACTTCCTCTAAGAATATTATATTTAATGTGAAGATACAGACATATAAACAGGTAGATAAAATGAAGTGTTATAATTATTATAACTTAAAATAGTCTAGGTAGCTGCCAGGCTGGTCCTGCTCCGTGCCGGTGGCCAGGAGTGGGCAGTGGAGCAAATATAAATGTTGGAGTTGCCCACAATGAGGTGAATCCAAATACCCATGTAATGAGCAGCCCGGGTACGTGGCTGAGACATGCATCGGGAGTTGGCTTGCTTCATATCGTCTTACTTAGCATTCCCTTCTTCAGTGTTCCTGTTGCTTGGACCTTAACAAACATACACATAGTCTGGGCATGTATGTATTTTTGCATGCAGTGAAAGGAACACCTTTGAAACTCCAGACCAGGGTAAAGCAAGGCTCCTAACTCATTGGGAGCAACTGGACTATGGAGTACAGTTTACATCTTCACGGAAGTTTTTCACAATTTGTCCAATAATTCTATATTTTCTGGCAAGTTTCTATATGAAGTATGATCCAACTCACTTCATCCTAAACACAGCTTCTCTCCTGAGTGTGCTAATTCCCAACATGCCACAACTACATGGTGTTCGGATCTTCGAAATTAATAAGTATTAAAATATTTTGAAACTGAACAAAATTTTTTTACAGCTACTGAGTTTCCTATAAGGAAGGAGTAGTTAGTAAACTGCACTGTTTCTGTGGTAATGTGAAATGGGAGGTATTTATATTGGAGGGACTGTTGGTTCTTCATATGCTGTTTTGAAGTGCAGATTTCTATTAAAAGATGCCTCTGTGTAATGCATCTGATATATTTCTGAAGAGAGGCTTTATAAGTAGGCTGGGCAGGCCCAGATTATAAATAAATGGTAACACAGTGAGGGTATAGCAGATAAATCCAAGGAAATAAGAGATTTGTAAGAAACTAGGACCAGCTTAACTTATAATGAATGGGCATTATGTTAGGAAAAGAAAATTTCCAATCATTCAGTCACAGTTTAAGCAGACTTACATGTAAACCAGAATCATCTCTTTACAAACTTATTAAAGATTGTTTTTATTACCATACATATTCCTCTTGTTTTATATAAGAGGATATATACCCTCTTGGTTTATGTAAGTCAATTCCTACTTATGAATGTACTTTTTTGGTTTCACTGCCTCGATGTCATGTGTTGATAGATGAGGTCATTTTTATATTTCAAAATCCACCTTCGTGACTGATTGGTGCTAGAAGACAGCCAGGTATCTCACAAGCGGCCTCTGAGTCAGTGTTCTAATTTTGGAAAAAAGTGGGTTTTACTGCTTTTCCAGACACAAGGCTGCTAAACCAATTAAGAAAATAATTTATTTCAAGCAGCTAAAGTATAAGGTAATTTAAAGTGTCTGCTTATTTGGTTGAGCAATTTAATTGGTAAAGTCTGTCATTTTTTAGAAAAGGAAATACAAAACGGACAACTATACAGCCAGCCTGTGGTCTGGCAGAAACTGCTTCTCTAGCAATAGTACCAAAGTAAGTAATGGAGTCTTTTTTAGCAGGTCTGCAGTAAAAGATAACATTCTCTTTTCTTAGTCTGCCTGCTCTCAACCCCCACATTTTGCCTATTAATATTTTGCCTTTAAATACGTGGTTCTTAGTGTAGATAACCCAAAATGGTAACTATTTCCAGAGCACCAACCATATTGAATTCTGACTTAGGAAAGCTTCCCATAGGTGCTAACATTAATTGCAAAAAATAACTATACACTACTTTGAGTAGTAAACATGTCACAAAAACAAAGTTCTGATATGAGATGAAATTGAAAAATTCAGTTAACATTTATAAACAAAATTGAGTGAAAAGAGTTACAGACCAACTTAAAAATCAGTTTGTGTCAATAAACTGACTTTTGGGGATAATGATCATTGTTTTGTATTTCAAAAGTATTGAGTTTAGAAATCAGTTGTATGATACAGCCTTTGTGTTTGTCTTTTCTCATGTGTTTTTAAATAACGAGCAATCTATATGTTAATAAAATTTTTCCTTGGTGTAAAAAAATGTCTAGATATAGTTAGGTTACAAAGCAGTGGTTAATTCTATCTGGTTGGAGGTTGAGAGCAAAGTGAAATGGGTTATGAAAACATTTATGGAGACAAGGCTGCATTAGGACTTTTGTGGGCTCTAAAACACTGTTGCCTTTGTGGTCCCCTTCTTCCACAAAAACATATTTAAAAGTAATATCATTATAGTGGAACAAGATGAGTATAATTGTCCAGGCACTCTAGGAGCACATAGCCAGGATGTTCGGCAAAGACCTCCCTGAGGTCAAAATGTTTAAGTGAGAGACCCTAAGGACAAGTGAGAAGGACTGAGAGGTAGGATAAAACAGTTTGTTCAAAGGCCTAGAAGTGAAAGATCTGTGTATGATTGGATGGAAGAGAAAGAGAGAGGGGGTGGGGGTTCGGGGGGAGAGAGAGAGAGAGGAGATAATAGGTGAGAGATGAAGTTAGGGAAGGAAGTGGGGATCAAACCTCAGCAGGCCCTGTGTTAAGGAGTCTGGCTTTATCCTAAGGATAATGAGAAGCCGTTAAAAGTTTTTACGTTAAGAACTAACAGGTCCAGGTTTCCATCTAGGGCATTCTTTCAAGCTGCATTGCAGCCAATGGACTGGTAGATATTCTGGGGGGCCTCTAGGCTCCCTCTTCTGGTCCAACGTACCCATCCCTAGCACCGAGGAATATTGGCTGTTGAAGGCTCACAGCTGAATTCTCCAGTGAGCATTGCACCCAGACACAGTGAACTGCCTTTCCCAAGGGTAGACCTTCTCCCAGAGAGCACCTGTGGTCATGCCTGGTTAATGTGGAGATACAAAGGCCCAGCCCCCTTGTCTCAATCAGGGCAGCCCCAGCTCCTGAGCTCCCTGAAGGATTGGCTGAGGCCTCAGTTATAACCATGCCTCTGGTTGCTTTCACTTTGCTTAATCCTACTCTATTAGTTACCTGTTGCTGTATCACACATCACCACAAACTTAATGGCTAAAAAAAATACACATTTATCATCTCACAGTGTCCATGGTCAAGAGTCTGGGTACAGCCTAGCTGGGTCCTCTGCTCAGGCTGCAAAGTGTTGGCCAGACTGTATTCTCATCTGGAGGTTTGGCTGGGGCAAAAAAATCTGCTTCCAAACTCATTCCAGTTGTCAGAATTCATTTCCTTGTGGTTGTAGGACTGAGGACCCCAGTTTCCTGCTGGCTATTGGTTGGAGCCTGTCTTTGGTGTCTAGATGTCACCAGCAATTCCTAGAGGCTGCTAACAGTTCCTGTCACATAGACTTTCCCAACATAGCCACTTACTGAGTCAAGCCGTCAAGAAGAGTCTCTAGAACAAGTCTGCTACCAAGACAGACTCATATATAATATAAAATAATTGCAGCGGTGCAGCATCTCATCACCTTTGCTATATTCTATTCATTAGAAGCAAGCCACAGGGTCCATACTCACTCAAGGAGAGGGGATTACACGAAGTTTTGAACACCGGGAGATGGGAATGATGGGAGCCACCTTCACGTCTGTCTGCCACACTTGCCTTCTTCACTTGTTACAGGTGTACCTCCTGAGAGCATGCTCCAAGAAACCTGCTACTTGCAACTACCCATCTTAGAGTCTGGATCCAAGGAGCAACACTGAAGGCAGGGAAGTGAGTTAGAGACTTGCTGTAACCTTAACTATGGGTGATAGCAGTAGGAGATTCAGTAGCAAATTTTATTTCCATTAATAAATGTATAATCATTATTATTAGAATTCAGAATGATACACACCCTATCCAGAAATAAAATCAAGTCTAAAAACAACAAGGTATCTTCAAATAAGGATACACACAACAAAAATAATTCATTTCTAGGGCTGTAGAGCAGATTAAACATAACTAATAAAAATTAAACTTACTATGTTCCACAGTGTGAAAATAAATCTCAGACACAGTCACACAATCAAAAAGTGATGATTAGCACTTTATTAAATTAGCACAGATTGGACTTTCGCAAATTGCAGAAATAGCCAGCAAATAGAACTGTCCCATTAGAGACTGATATTCAGAAATATATAAGCAGCTGTAGGTATGATAACAGGATAAAATTCCACCCTGTTAATCAGCATTTCTATTTTTATCCATCCTATTTGCAATACATTTTTCTTTTGCTTACTTAGTCATATACAGAGTGATATAAACGATATTAAAAAAGGATCCATTTTCAATCATTTTTACACCATATTATAGGTATTCCCCACTGAAAAAATTATTTTTCCTTAGGTCTTTGAAGTGTGAAAAAATTATATGTATATATATATATATATATATAGCCCTGACCTTATTTCTGGAAATGCTTAAATCAATAACTGTAAACACCACATGGTCACACTTACGTGCTGTCAGAAAAATATTTTAGAATATTTTGAGTAGTCAGTAGCTTATGATTTCATGGGTTTGTGGGTATAATTGATTGCCTTTCATTTTAAAGCACATTCAAGATTTATTACAAAAAAGGATGGTAAAACAAAATATATGATCTGCCCTTGGTATTTGGGAATGCTCAGCAGTAGCACAGAAACAAGTGTTGAATTTATCAGGGAAGCAGAACAACAGCCCTTCAGAGAGGGGTGAGCCGCTCATCCTCTGTCACGAAGGCATCGTTAATGCGCCCTCCCTTCGCGTCCAAAGGGTTGCAGGGGATGCCGTTTTCAATTGTGATCATGTTTTCACACCTATCTTCAGCGTCAATCAGTTGAGATAGTTCTGCGTTCTTCCTAAAAGTATACAAAAAGAGGCATTGGCATCTAGGAGGACATGAGCACGGCTGAGTATGGTCTTCTATATAAACATGGAGAACAGGAAGGGGAATAGGAACCTTAGAACCACGAAATAATTAATGATATTATGCATTTTCAAATAAATTTCAAAGATCATAAAGAGTTGGTGAGGTGAAAAGATACTATCAAGATAAGAACTCTGCATGGATGACATATGTATATTGATCAGAACAAGTGGTCTTATTTAGAATAGAAAATAAATATAGATGAATATGTATATGAATGAATATATATGCATATGAAGGAATATGACTGTATACACACATATACATATACACACAAATTACATGAAGGATGTGAAGAAATGTATAGTAAACTGGCAAGTTTAAAATTTTGCTCTAGGAGAACAACTTAACAAAAATTGAACTTAAAAAAGTAATAAATTCGTCTCATGGGATTTGACAACTTAATGGTCTGCAAATGTTGAGTGAAAACCAAATTGAAATTTGCTGTCAGAAAGCAAATTCACATTACTTTATAGAAAGTAAGTAACTGCTACAAATTTCAGATATCACTGCTTGGCTCTACTTATTACAAAATAGTTGTGTTCATCTGTAAGTCAGGATTTTGGAACTCAGAACACATCTTCCTAATTACATTACAACTCATAGTTGTAATTCCAGATCATCCCAAAAAGCTCCACATGACAGGATAAATTTTTTAGCTTCTCATACTCTCACCCTTTGTAGATCCTGCTACCCCAACCCAAGTGGTAACTAGATCCTTAATATTTCCTTGGAATGTGGAAAGCTGCAGACTAAAATTCAAAAGTTTTTCCTGTCTTTTGTGAAAGACTAAGACACTGAGCCAATTATGCTTGATATCATGCAGTAAAAGAAAGAAGAGAAGTGGGTGCCTCTCTAGGCAACCATAAGAAGGAGGGGTTTGCCTGAGGCTTATCACAGATTGGACATTGGAGCACCACTCCATGGTGGCACCAGGGATTCATGATGTCAAGCATGAGGCTCCCAGAGTTGCCAACGATTCTCCTGTCCAAGGAATCCGGGGAAACTCCAAAAAGGCAGACCTGAAGGGATCATCTGGCTGGAATGTTGGGCATTGCAGTGGTGGCCAGGGTGGATTCTCACCACTATGAGAGTCCCTTAGGACCTTAGTGAGTCTCTGACAGGTGAGGAGGTGGTGAAGATGCCCCAATGATGACCAAGATGGAACTTTCTATTAGTCCTATCTGAGAATCACTTTTAATGTGCTTTAAAGAATATGGTGGAAGAAAGAGGAGAAAAGAGAAAGCTCTTTTTTACAAAAGAATGCCAACTAATACAGAAAGGGTAATAGAAATAGACAATCACCACTACAATAAAAATTGATAAAGAATCATCAATGGATACTAAACCATCCAGTGAGAGATGGTTGGGGAACAGGATATTCACATGGTCTCAAAGTATCACCCCCATAAGCAATGTACTAATTACAAAAGGACACTTGTATTTTGCCAAGAGAGAAATCTGGTGAACAGCTCCAACCATGATACAAACTGACAAGTCCCTCCTGATTTGATACACTGAGTAGATCACATATACATTTTTTGGTGGTGTTCCTGCCACCCCAACCCCAATTTTTGTTACCCGAATCTCATAATGAGGAACCTAATCAGACAAATACAAATTTAAAGATGTTTTGCAAAACAGCTGACCTGGATTCAGCACGGAGTAGGCATTCAACTCAACGGGTGGATGGAGCAATGAATGTAGATCCGTGGCTGGTTGGTTAGATGATAAATTAATGGATGGATGAATGAATGGATGAATTAATGCTATAAGGAAAGTTATTCAGAGAGTAACCCAAGGTAGATTTTGAATGGGATTCACCACAAGAAATGGAAGAAAGGAAGGAAGGAAGGAAGGAAAGAAGGAAGGAAGGAAGGAATTTCATACATGTGAAATTTTTTGTATCTCATATTTTTTTAATGGATGGAGAAAATATTCATTTTTAAGCTTAGGAATTAGGAGTTAGCGTGGATTTTGCCAGGCTTTGCTGATGGTTTATTAAATAATTTCAAACAGCTGGAATTCATTTTAAAAACTAAAATATCTTTCCAATACTGTGAATCCCAATGTCATCATCTGAAAGTATCTTGTCATTATATATCCCACTATCAAATGTCACAATGAATCACTATAGGAAATCATTGAATTGGAGTCGTTGAATTTTAAACATTTACTCATAAAACTACTTGCCCAATGCTAGGTTAAAAGTTGGAGCTTGTAGTCCAAGAGACCCAGGAAAAGATAGGCTGCTGTGTTTTTCCAGCCTCAGGGTGAAGACACCGCACTCTGTCCATTAAGAGCATCAGCAATCAGCAATCGGCACAGCTTGGCGTGGACAGAGAGTTTAATGTGGTGAGAGGGTCCTCTGGCCAGGTGAAATCACCCACCAGAGGACTAGAACACTTTGGTTCCTCCTCCTGTGGACAGGAGAATTGTCACTTTCCATGTCCTCCAGAAAGCAAAGGCAATTAATATTCTATAACCATCAATCACATCACTTCCATTCATAGTATACAACATTCATTAACAGCTATGTTTTGAGTGCCTACTATGTGTATGGAAAAGACACAATCCTTGTCCTAAAAAGGACTCAAGGAAAGGCGAAAACTCCGTATTCATCCATCTTCCCTCCCCCATTTTTTAATGTTTTCTAAAAGGGAGAAATGATTTTTTATAGGAGTGAAGCCCTAGTAAAAAATATACATATCATCAAAAATGACTAGCTCATGCAAATTCCCCCAAAATCACTCCTCACTGAGCTTGGAGTGAAAAATAATTTTCCACAACAATAAACAGATTTTAAACAGCCAAATCTTACCCTGAAATTTGTGTTTATAAGTATAAAACCCATGTTATAAAAATCTTAGTGAAGGAAGCATTCTGCAGTAGGTAGCAATGCAACAGTAGTCTTAGAAATAACGGGTTGCCAGTGTCTATTTGCCAGTTTCTTCAGTAAAAAAGTGTTTTTATGGAGTTGGAAGAAAAATGGCAGAGAGCTAGACACATGCAGATCACTGCGAGGAATCTCACCTCCCTCTCCAGAGTCACAAAGGAAAAATAATCCATCAGGCATCACAAAGGAATGGAGAATAACTAAAAAGGAAGATGAAAATGAATGAAGACAAGTTTCGCTTCTTTAGAAGAAGGATAATTTCTCGACCAAAAATATTCTGAGGGGAATCACTGTGGAAATCTATGAAACTGAGCTGTGTCAGTGGCAAATTAGGTACATATTGTTCTTTTGCAACCTTAGATCTAGTTGTTCTGAGTCTTAGCATCGCTGGGATTCACAAACTGCAGTGTCAGTAACTTGCTGGCTGGTGGACACGATAAGCAGCTCAAAGGTTATCTAACAGTAATATAGCACTTTGTCACATTTCGGAGTGCGTGCTGTAATAAAGTGATTCACTACCTGTGCATTGCTCTAAGAATCATAAAACTTAACTATCTTTTGATCATTCTGATTTGATGTTCTGCTAAAAACATGACTTCTTTTTCCTGAAAACTAAAATTGAGTGTTAATGATTTCCGCTGTTCCTGCAATGTCAGGTGGTTCAGGAAGAGGATGAAAAACCTGTGACTAAAATGCATGGAATTAACTCCTAGGAGACTTGAGAGCAGATATGTTTTACAAATCCAGAGATAAGAGGGGCAAAAGAAGTATCAGGTGGCCTTCAGAGCTGGGGAGTGTTAAGAAACAGGGTTTGCTCTGTTCCAAGATAAAGTAGTGAAGGTTAAAAGCAGAAAGAGTATTTCTGTCTCCCTTCATAGAAAATAGGGCTGAAGAGCCAAGACCCAAGAATAGCCAGAAAAACAATAAAGGACAGACAAATATGATTTTTAAACAGGATAGAATCAATTATTGAGGAATTGGGACTGTCCTTATAATCAGTCCGGATGATTCCTGGGGGAAAAGTCAGTGTTACTGAAACAATATGAGTGGGCATTGCAGCACACTGAGATTGGTGGACTTTGAAATCAAGCCTATCTGGCTTTAAATCCTGGTACCACTGCTTTTTAACCATGTGACTATAGACAAGTTGCTTTACATCTGCCATATAATAGCAATAATAATGTTAATAATATTAGGTATCTATTACATGGCAGAAATCAGATTAGGTAGGTGCTTATACATATCATCTCATTTCATTCTCACTGCGATATTTTATAGATTTTATTATTATCCCTGTTTTTTAGATGAAGGAGCTGAGACTCAACTTAGTAGAGCAACTTATCTTTCAGAATGAAAAAAGATTGGTGAAAGGATTTGATCTAGAACTCTATTTAGTGTCCCCAGACTCCACTGAAAACACACTGACATTGGATTCCTATGAAGCACACATATTTAAGAACAGTAAAGAAAAATAATTATTGTACTAGCAATGACATTTCTCATTTTATTTACATTTCTATTTTTAAGACTATATATTCATTTAAGACTTTAGGCCAGGTACATGGCTCATGCCTGTAATCCTAGCATTTTGGGAGGCTGAGGTGGGAGGATCACTTGAGGCCAGGAGTTTGAGACCAGTCTGAGCAACATAGTGAGACTTCGTCTCTACAAAAAATAAAAAAATTAGCCAGGCATGGTGGTGTGTGCCTGTAGTTCCAGCTACTCAGGAGGCTGAGGCAGGAGGATCACTTAAACTCAGGAGTTTAAGGTTGCAGTGAGCTCTGATGATGCCACTGCAGTCCAGCCCAGGCAACAGAGCAAGATACTATCTCAAAAAAAAAAAGAAAGAAAAAGAAAAAGAAAGGAAGAAAAAAAGACTTTAGAAGAATGTTAAGTTTCAGTATGTGAAAGTGATATCCAAATGCAGAAGAATGAAATTGGACTGTTATCACACACCAAATACAAAAATCAACTCAAAATTGATTAAGGACTTGAACATAAGACCTGAAACTATAAAATGACTAGAAGAAAACAAAGGGAAAAAACTCCATGACTTTGGTCTGGGCAATGAGTTTTTGGATATGACCCCAAAAGCATGGCAACAAAAGCAAAAATAGACAAATGGGATTTACATAAAACTAAAAAGCTTCTGCACAAAAGAGGGATTAATATCCAAAATATATAAGGAACTCAAACAACTCAATAGCAAGAAAACAACACAATTTAAAAATGGGCAAAGGGCCTCCATAGACAATTTTCAAAAGAAGATGTACAAATGGCCAATAGATATATGAAAAAATGCTCAACATCACTAATCATCAGGGAAATGCAAATTAAAACCACAATGAGATGTCACCTCACACCTGTTAGAATAGCTATTGTCAAAAAGACAAAAGATAGCAAGTGTCGGCCAGAATGTGGAGAAAAGGGAACCCCCGTACATTGTTGGGGGAATGTAAATTAGTACAGCCATTATAGAAAACAGTATGGAGTTTTCTCAAAAATTAAAAATAGAACTACTACATGATCCAGTAATCTCACTTCTGGGTACATATCCAAAGGAATTGAAATGAGTATGTTGAAGAGATATCTGCACTCCCATGTTCATTGCAGCACTATTCATAACAGCCAAAGAATGGAATCAATCTAAGAAGTATGCATTGATCATCAATGGATGAATGGACAAAGAAAATGTGCTGTGTGTGTTTATGTATGTGTGTGTGTGTGTGTGTGTGTGTGTGTGTATGTCTATAATGGAATACCATTCAGCCTTTAAAAAGAATGAAATCCTGTCATTCGTGACAACACAAGTGAACCTAAAGGACATTATACTAAGTGAAATAAGCCAGAAAGACAAATGCCATATGGTCTCACTTATATGTGGAATCTAAAAAAGTTGAACTCATAGAAGCAGAGAGTAGAATAGTGGTTGTCGGGGGCTTGGGAGATGTTGGTCCAATAGTATAAAGTTTCAGTTAGACAGTAGGAATAATTTTGGGTGATCTGTTGTAGTGAGTGTAGTTAGTAATGATGTATTGTATACTTCAAAATTGCTAAGAGAGTAGATCTTAAATGTTCTCACTTCCAAAAAAGATAACTATGTGAGGTGATGGCTACATTAATTGCTTAATTTAACCATTTCACAATATATACATGTATCAAAATATCACCTTGTATACCATAAATTTGTATTTGTTAATGATACTTTAATAAAATAAAACAGGTATTTATTTGCTAATAAAATCCCAAGCAATGAGATGGTGAACTGGAGAAATTTCTACAGTATGATGACAATATCTGGGTGGAAAAGAGTTCCTTTCCTAGCACCCCTTAATCACAGCAATGGGTTAAGGTGATCTTGGATAATAATAATAATTACTGTTTATTTAGTGCACACAATATCCTGGATACTTTATACACATTTATGTCAGTCAATCCTCATAAAAGCCCTGTGAGATATCATCTGCCTATTGCAGATGAAGAAACTGAGACCCATGGAAATGGGACCCAAGATCATACATGTAAAAGGTATAGCTGGTATTTGAGTTTTCCTAGTTTGGGCTCCATGATTGCATGCTTTCCACCCCACTGGGTAGAATAATCAATACAATAGTGTTATTGACAAAGATTACAGAATTATTAAAGCCTTGGCTGAGAAATTTCTCCTATAGTAAGTTTAAATATGCAAATGTGTTAGACTCTTCTCCATAGAGGCAGAACAATGACTTAGATAAACCCATGGTCCTTGCAGGTCTTTTAAGTTTAAGATTTTGTATCACACAAACTATGTTCATGACTAGCTAATGTACGGAGTGTATTTTTAAACCTTTCTTTGATTGTCTTCCTCAAAACTAAAGGCTTTGGGGACAACTCCTATCTTTTCCATGACTAGAAAGGGCTTTCATCACAATTATCAGGGCTCTCCCCACTTCAAACTGCACCTTCTCCTTGCCTTTAAAGCAATATTTTGCCCAAGAGAAACCCACCACGAATTGTATCAAACTTAGAACAATTTATCTTCAGAAGGTTATCACGATTTTCCTGATTATATTTGCTAATTATTGATGCTTTCCAGGTTTACACAAGAAATTTGTCCATCTGTTTTCCTAGTTTGAACACGAAATGAATTTGTAAAGGCAGGGTTGTGACAACAGCTTCACTTCTCCCAGGCAATAGATTATGATGCTACACACCCAATTATTATAGTACTATAGAATCTGCTCAGAAGGAAAGAGATAGCTGATCCTAACACAAACTAGCTGAAAGACCAGCAAATGGCAAGATAATAAAATAATAGTAACAGCTAATACTTATTGAGCACTCATTGTGTGCCAGGTACCACTCTAAGCACTCTATCATATTAATTCTTTTTATCCCACCAAGTTAATTATTTCCAGTACATCTCACTGTCACTCTAAAAAAGTTATCTATGCATAGACAGCAAAGATAAACTGAACCAGCTTGACTCCAGCACCACAAATCATATTCTCCTAAGCTCGGTTTCCCTGACTCATTGTTTGTGCTTACTGATATCCGTACAGTTAATGGATTATATACAAGGGCAGAATCTAAGTCATAAATACTTTGAATCTAAGCAGTCTATCTCCAGAGTCCATTCTTCTAACTGCTCCACTATATTGTACTAGCAAGGAAATTGGGAACCAAAGAGATGGAGTGAATTCATGAAGGTTACAATCGTTAGAAACCATAGAATCACGGCATCTCAGGATCAATAGAAAACAAAAGTACTAAACATAGATATTCAAGGATTACAAGAGACTATTTCTTAATATTCTAAAAACAAAAACCGAAACAAAACAAACACCTTATATCAAGTCTCTTCGTATTACATGTCATGCCAAGATCAAGAAAATCAAGCAAGTACAACTTGATCCTAATCTTTGAGTTTAATTTGGGGACTAGACATAAACCACATTTATTCCATAGCATTTCACTTATCATTTGTGAAAAAAAATTACAAAGCCCAAAATTTAAAATTATTACTTTCTGTTAGTAACTAGGGTGAAACATATGGAAAGTAGCAGACCTCAGGAGAAGCATTTAGTCAAACACCTACTCAGCCAACACACCCCACGTGTGCCACGTAGGTGCCAACACTTTTGAAAACCATGTCCCCGTGATTTTGAAATGCATGCCCCTGTGATTCCCACTTACCAGAACTCCTCTTCCTTGGTGTTAGAAGGGAACGTTTGGAAGCATGAAAGTGTTTAGTGAAGAATTGGGGACTTTTCCATCTTCCCTTCTGGATTAGAGGTACTTGTAAACAAAACCATGCTGAGAAATCCTGGCTCCTCTTTTTCCCCTCTACCTCAGTAACTCTCCCACTGGTCTGAAATCCCCTCTTGAAGAAATATCAATAATTTAGACATCAAAGTTTGCAAGTGCCCCAGAATCCAGGTAAATGATCTCAAGAAGTGGGAATCTATCTATAAATTGTTAAATCGAAAGCTCTCAAACTAAAGTGGGGAGGCATGGAAAGAACTGTGCAACTGCTGGCATTTGGATGTGGACAACTACCAAGCAGGAATTCTACCCTGAAAAGCCTGCGTAGCTCCATGTATCCAGCTTAGAAAATCATAACACAGACAGTAAAATCAACTCTGGATATCAAACATTCATATGATATAGAAGAGAGAGAAAGATAGTGACAGAAGGAATCTAGTTAAGTGAGGGACACTGGACTGTCAAAAATATCTAAAGACAAGAGCATAGGTGATGTTTTTAAAATAATCAGTTTTTTCAGAGTTTCAAATTTAAGGCATTATCTTTAGCCAGAGGAAAATCCTCTCCTTATTTTTCCAAGTCATGAAGAAATAGGAAAATGGTTTCTAACTCCCATTAAATATCTTACCTTCTACTTTCCCAGATCCCTGATAAAATCAGTAGTGTAATTGCAACTATGACCATGCAAAATATCACACCAAATATAATAATCCAGATGGGTACAGATGGGTCCGTGGGTGGTTCAAGTGTGGAAGGAATTTTTAAAAATTCCAGAGTTCGGTCATTCAAAGAGAAGGCATTGTTGATCCGGTTCCTATTCATTCTAAAATACAATGATAATTAAAAACAAACAAAATAAGACAGAAAAAGAAACAATTAGAAACAAAGTACAAACCTGTCTCTCCATGATTACAAATATCTCTATAAACAAAGCATCCTCCTAGCAAGAAACTTCAGGTTGACTACAAAGTTTGCTGAGAGCAATTATGCTGGGTTTTCTTTTAATAAATTGTGGTGCTGGCTGCCATGTGAATGTCCTAGAAGTAACCAGAAGTCCTGTGCTTTGAACTTTGCCCACCATGTTTTATTTCCTCAGAGGTAGCATCTAGATTAGAATGACAGTATGTAGTGAGCACAGGAAGGGAGACATAGTAACATAAGACTTGTTCAGTAAACTGAAAGTAGTTCCATAGGACTGAAGGCAATGGTGGTTTTTGGAGTCCAAAAGTTTAGAGAAATACATTACTTTTACTGGGAAACATCTGCAGTTTTGATGGTGGTGGCAGTTAGGGTGAAATTGGTAGCAAAGATTTATTTAATTGAAACCAAATAAGTGAAGTTCTAACTGGAAATTGTGAACTAGGTGAGGAGAGTCCTTGGAGATGTTTTACGACCCTTACTGAATTCATACTACATAAGCCGACTTCAGCTACCTCTAGAACAGCCCTGGAAAATAGAAATATAATATGGTCCTCATGTGGCTTAAAATTTTCGAGTAGCTGCACTAAAAAAATGAAAAAGAAACAGGTAAAATTAATTTTAATAATTTTTTTGTCCAATATATCCAAGAAAATGTCAACATGTAATCAATATTGAGTTGTTGGTTCACATCTTATTTTGTACTAAGTCTTGGAAATTTGGTGTATATTTTACACTTAAGAGTACACCACATTTTGGACTAGCCACATTTCAAGGGCTTGATAACCACGTGTGGCTGGTGGCTACATTATTGGACAGCCCAGGTCTAGGGAGCCCAATAGCAACGGCTTGCGAATCTGCAGACCAGCACCAGGCAATCAGAGAAGACCCCCTTTAGCAAATAAAAATCTATGTCGAGGCATGATTATTCATGGACGTGAAAGTGAACCGCAGATAATCCACAACAAAGATTAAATGTATTTTTTATTGAAAGATGGAATGTTTTTTTTTTTCATAACCTAATACTAACAATCTGGGAGCACAAACCTTTCCACAAAATAATGAACACTGCTGCTAAGATATAACTCAGAGAAAGATGAAAAGTTTCTCTGCATTCTCATTCTATCTACCTGGTTGATTACCTTTTGCTATTTTCTCACTCTACACTAGGAATGTTCTCTATCACCTCTCAGGCTAATTGGAAGTTCTAGCTCAAGTACAGATTAAATTTTATTCACAACTGGAATCCTCAATTGCTGTCGATCACTATTGATATCTTTCAGCCAAAATTGGCATTCAATTAGGCCAGGCCCTCACAAAAGAACTATAACAGACATCTCAGAACTGGTTGGTCATTCCCTTACCTCATTCCATAGGTGTGGACACTCTGATAAAAAGGAAAAAAAAATCACTGGATATGGTGGCAGCATTCCTAGGATCAAGTCCTCACTCTTTTTCTTTCTAACATGGTGGGCTTAACAAATCAATTAATCTCCCTGAGCTTCAGTTTCCTCATTTATAAATGAGGGATAATAATAATTACTCAAAAATTATTGGTGTTGATATTAAATGCCACAGATGCATAAGAATATACCTTGTGAACCAGAAGGTGCTATGCAAATATTAGGTGGAACTAGTATTATTTTGCCCAACCACATAAATTCTTCAGCCTTGAAATTCCTATTACCTGCTCTCTAAGTACCATCTCCCCTTTTTATTTTCACTCTATCCTTTCTTCTTGGTATTGTTTCTGTTATTTTTACCCAATCTTGATGTGCCCTACTCATTCTCTGACACAAATTCTCATTCTATTGGCCATCCACACCCCATTAAATAGTTTCTCCTGCTGACCTTTGAAATAGACACATTGTTATGAACATATTCATGTACTTCTTAGACCTTCACCCAAAGCACACACTCTTCCTTCTCATATCTACCCAAGCCTGGTGTAATCGCAGTGCCTTCATTTTCCTCGTAGCCCTTGCAGATCGCAAGACTTGAATAAAATCCCTTTTCATGTGAAATTGTTTCTAATTTTTACTCCCTAAGTGGCGGGTATTAACAGTATTAGTACAAGTATAATTTAGTTCAAACCCTCGTTAGAGCAGATCAAACGATTTCCCATTGATATAGCTCTTCAGTGCCTTTGCTTCAGCCAGGAGAATAGATGATTGTTCACAAAAACCTTTGACATTTGATTATATACTCATTCTCTTAAGTGTTAATATTTTACAGAGAGCAAATTAGTTCTTTCACTAGGTATTTCTCCTTGGTAAAGAGAATAATATGCATTTTAGTAACCTGTAAATCTTTTGTGGGGCGAGTTACTTTGTTTTGTTCTGTCTTTTTCAGGAAATAGTTTATTTCATGAATTCATTCTTCCAAAATACCTTGCTCAACATCAATCACGTGTGGCATTTGAAGTTCTGAACACACTAAACGCACATTAATTAAAATAAAAACAAATCCTTCTAATTCTTGGGAGTCAAGAACTGGTTTCATTTTTGAGTTTGCTATGATTATAAGGAAGGGAGGTGCGCAGCTGTCAGGAAAGAGTATAAAAGACTTAAAATGGGCAAAAAAGATTACTGGACATTTTACTGAGTATTCTGCCTAGTGTACCTTTCTGGGCAATTTTCACCTCTTATTGTCTTTGAGCTATTTTGCAAATCCATAAGTTCTAGAAAACTGACATAATGTAAATGATTCTTGTCCATAAAAAAATCAAACGAATTGTGTCTGGTGGAAGATACTTGATTACTGCCTGATAGATAAACTGATGCATCATTTTGTAAATGCATTTCACCATTCCTTATTTCCTCTATATGTGTGGTTCCTTGAAATCTCCTTTGAAATGGTTTTAACATCTTACTAGTTCCCTCATTAATTAATGAAATAATAAAATCTTTGATAGTATTCACTTTTGGTTTGTATGAGAGCCATATATTTACAGGTTTTTTAAAAAATTATCTTTTAAAGGTAAAGACTATATATTGACTGAAAAAGGTAAATCCTTAGATACTCAAGAAATGTGAATATTTTTCTTGGTTTCAAAATAAAAATCAAAGAAATGACTTGTACCTCAAAACTTTTTAAATTTATTAACTCATTTAATCTTCTCAGTAACTCTGAGAGAGGGGTACCATAATTATTCACATTTTACAAATGATGAGAGGAAGGCAAAAAGAGGGTAAGTAACTTGTCTGTATTCAAATAGTTATCATAATTAAAAATCTAGACATTCTGGAGCCAGAGTCTATGTGATCTCAAGCCATCACACAATAGTGAAATACAAGGTGTTCTTGCCAAAAGAAGACAATACTAAACATTCTTAGCTAATATTTAACACATTAACTGCCACGTGAGTTGTATTTAGCTCCAGCTAGTTTTGAGCCTGGGGCCTCATGAAGCATAAGTAACTCACACGTCTCTTCACCTTGGGAGCCGCGAGAACTATTTTTCAGGTTGCATATAACTCACACACAGAAAACAATAAAAAAATAACAAATTTTTTTCATTAAATTAGAAAGGATCATTTTGTTTTTGAAGTTTTTATTCTATTTTCATAATAAAACACTGTGGCCCCATGGAAAAAAAATGTTTTTTCTAATGTGTCAGTCAATGTGTTAAAGCAGGGTTTCTCAACCATAGCACGATTGACATTTTCAGCCAAATAATTCTTTGTTGTGGGGTGCTGTCCTATGCACAGTAGGATGTTTAGCAACATCTCTAACTTCTGCCTACTCAAAGCTGGTGGCACCACCACCCCCTCCAGTAGTGACAAAAAAATGTTTCCAGATATTTCCAAATGTCTCCTTGAGGGCAAAATTGTCCCTGGATGAGAACTACTGATCTACACTAATCTCTAATAGAAACTAACAAAATGAAATCTTTGACATTTTAATAAAGAAATTACGTATGGAGCAGGGAGAGAACTCTTCAATATTTATGAAAACAGTTGAATTAATCAACAAGTTGATTGACCAGTGATTACCTTATGGCTGACTGCACCTCAGCAGCAGGAAGGGTGTGATTTTTTGAAGGGTCTGTAACCACAAACCAAAATGACACCCTCTGAGTTACATTGCAAAGTAGGACATGAGCAACTCTGCAGACAGTGGAAAGAAAAAAATATATTAGAAGAATATCATTCCAAATGGCATCAAGCCATTCACTCTATTGCTATTACGATTTTAAGAGGCATCTTAGCTATGTTTGAAAAGTCATTTCTACCATTATGAAGAAAGGTCTTAGAAAGAAGAAAATTATATAGGAAATTCTCTTTGTTTCAAAATCATATCTTTGGGAATCATTCCTTAAATAAGGAATCTGCAAAAAAAAAAAAAAAATTAGTAGAGACTGTTAGGGATCTCATTCTCCATCACTTGTTGGTGACAGCCCCCCACTCCCCCATCCTCACCTTCCCTAAGGCTTGGCTCTTCCCTAAACCACAGAAGACTCTGGTGTTTTCTTAACAAGCTCCTTTTAGTGCCCTGCCCATTCGGCCTCCCATCTCTCGGATCCAGACAAAATCTGTTGCCTGCTCTTGATTCAGTACTTGCTCTGACTGCCTCTACTTCTATCCTTCCCCTACCCAAGCACTGGGGCCAAACCAATAGGTGGCTTCTGAACATATTTTTGAGGGAAAAGTTTTCAAGAACAGTTTCTTTTACATCACCTTGAACAAACCTCCAAACTTAGCCACTATGATCAATTCACCAGCAGTGTTTGAATTGTTTTGTAATTATATGGTTTTCAACAGCAAATTGGAAATGTGACTCACTCTACTCTGTATGCATGGATTGCCATTAAAAGGAAAAAGAGACAAATGATATTAGTGTTCAGAGAGAAGACGATCTATACGTGGATGCATGGAAGGTGGAAATTATAGGAGAGTCCACATAAAATCAGCATTACCGGAACTAAACATAAACCTTGGACGGCTTTGGCCATTTTCTTAAGAGCTAAATTGCAAAAAGTGACATTAACATCCGTCCTAGAAGAATGAAACACACATCACCTTTCCTATTTTGTTTCTCCTTAAAAGAGCATCCAAGTGTATTATGTTCAATTTCACAATGATGAAAGAGAGCACCCTCTGTCCACAGGTATCTGCAGTTTTCAGGGCCTGGTAGAATTTCTTATATTTTCTGCGTTCAAAGGTCAGACACAAAAGTAGAGGCAACCGCTAGACCTCTCTGTCCAGAGCCAGGTGCCTGGGACCAGCAGTGGGAAGGACAGAGACTTGAACTTCTCTAGTCCTCCAGATAGAAGGGCGACCCCGCCCACTGCTACTGCGATCGATCGGTGATGTCCCGGTGTCCAGGTGTCCACGTGGCAACCGCCTGGCCGGTGCTGGGTCCCGTGGCCAGAGGGTCCTGAGCGCCCGACGCCCCACGCGCTTTCCTGGCGCTGTGACGCTAACGGTCACCGGACTCTGCGCCCTTCGTCCCTGGACTTGTCCACAGACGTCGGGAACTTCAGCAAGCCAAACCTGCGCTTGAAGCCACCTGCCCTCAAAGCCACCTGCCCACCACACTGATGTCATGGGTAACTGCCTGAGCCGGTACCTGGTTAGGTACCTGGGCGTGCTCAAGGCCGCACAGCCGGCCCAAAAGCGCTGGTCCCCGCGGCCCAGGCCCGCCAGCCGCCCCCAGGCCCAGGACCACTGCAGAGTCCACTACGTCCATCGAGAGCGCTGGGTCCGCACCCAGCCCCTGCCCAGAGTGCCGGCTGGCTGGGATTACGCCCAGATCCGCAGGGCCCTGGTCCCCGAGGCCTGGAGGCGCTTCCCCAACAGGCCCACGCCCCACAGCCTGGTGGGGCCCGAACTCTCCTCCGCTCGGCTGACTTACATCAAGCGGTGGCTTTGGAGCGCCCGCAACCCGCGTCTGGTCCGCAGTCTGGTCACCGTCAAGATCGCTCCCCCGCAGCGCCCAGGCAGCATCTACCGGCGCCTCCCGGCCCCGGAGGGCCCAGACCCCTGCGCCACGGAGTCCGTGCTCAGGGCCCTGGGGCCGTGCAACAAAGGCAAAAGGAAGTTCGACGGGCCGCTCTGGTTTGAGGTCCCGGACCCCAAGCAAAGGAAGCAGGGCCCGGCGCCCCGGCCGTCTGCCTTCAGGCCGGTGAGCAGAAAGGGAATGGTGCCCGCCTTCGTGCCCAGGCCGGGGCCGCTGATCGCAGGC